TCCCTTCGTACTTCAGATATATTGACCCCATTCAGCAACTTTGTGACTCTTCGCCTTCGTCTGTATAGGGAACGTCTCTCTCTTTCTAGTTTACATCTTCTCTTTCTTCTTCTTAATGGAATGTGTCTTGAGCAGATCTCAAGAACCACGGAATTCATTTTTTCAAGACAGATGTTCAGGTCCATGTTGTTTAGGATATCTTCCCAGCTTGTTTCATTTAGGACATGGTTTACTTGATCCCATTGTATGTTTTTGTTATTGAAACTGAATTTCGTGAAGAGACCTTCATGACTGCTTACATTTTGCTGGTCCGGAGCCCTGTGCATACATGTCTATACTTCTATTTTGTTGTGATCTGAGTTTAATATATTTGATAGTGTTATATTACGTATCAGATCATCATTGTTAGTGAAGATGAGGTCAAGCGTATTTTCTAGTCTTGTAGGCTCAACTATTTGCTGGTTTAAGGTGAATTTATTGCAGAGATTTAGTAGTTCGTGTGTGTGTGTGAATTTTCATCTGAGCTGCCTCCCGGGGTGATCTCTGCTAAAGCATTGTTTGCTATACTCTTCCATTTTAGGTGTCTCAGGTTGAAATCTCCTAGTAGTAAGATGTTTGGGGCAGGAGTTGGGAGATTTTCCAGACAATGGTCAATTTTCTCAAGCTGCTCCTGGAATTGCTGGGAAGTTGCATCTGGAGACTTGTATACTACCACAATGACAAGGTTTTGGTTTTCGATCTTTACCGCCAAAACTTCAACTTCATCATTTGAGGTGTTTAGTAGTTCTGTGCAAATGAGTGACTCTGTGACATACAGGTCAACTCCCCCTTGCTGCCTGTTTAGTCTGTCGCATCGGATATTTCATTGTCATAATGATCCTTTATGTGGGTCTCTGTGAAACCTGCAAACATTGCATTTGACTCCGTGAGCAGTCTCTTGATGTAAGGAATCTTGTTTTTTGACGGCTTTAGACCCTGTATGTTTGCAAAGACAAATGTCGTATTGGTGGAATTTAGGGGGGTTTTATTTGCTGGCTCTAATATCTGTTGTTCTGGGGTAGAGGCCAATGTCTGTGACTCTGCTCCAGAAGTGTTTTTAGGTGGTGTAGGATTATTGTCATTTCTTGCCAGTCTTTTTTTCCCTTCTGGCCCTAAAAACCTCTGTCCCTGGAGAGGTTGTGGGTCCTCTCTTTTGTTTCCCATAGTCTGGCTGGTCAGTATTTTCTAGTCCCCTTTAGATGATGTGCCTGGCAGTATGTATTGTAGCATTTTCTTTCATGGATTGATGAGTGACACATTTCTGGGTGAAATAAGTTGCAAAAAAGGAAATTGCACTCTCCTGTTGTCATGTGGGTGCGGCATTTTATGGGATGGTCAAAGGTGCATGTCCCACCTGTTTTACCAGATATACCATACTTGCAGATACCCAAGGCATAGTATTTACATAGATTGTATCTCTGTTTGCAAGGATTTGTTGTAGCTGCATTCACTGCTGGTGCATTTATTTTTCTTGTTTCCTCAGTATCTTTTACCCCTGTATGGACATCAGTGCTTCCACTAGGTTTTGCTGGTAATGTGTCGACACTGTTCCCTGAGGCATCATCCCATTTTGATCCATCTCCAGCAGTATCTCTATTTTGAACCTCTGTGGACTGAATAAGTTGTCTTCAGTGCCCTCCAGGACAACACTAGTCCCCTCACGAGCACTATCTTCTAAGACATCACTAGGACCCTCTGGAACACTTTCCTCCAGGACAACACTAGCACCCTCAGTACTGTCCTCCAGGACAACACTAGCACCCTCAGTACTGTCCTCCAGGACAGCACTAGCACCCTCAGTAGCACTTTCCTCCAAGACAACACTAGCACTCTCAGCGCACTCTCAGCACTGTCCTCCAGGACAGCACTAGCACCCTCAGGAGCACTCTCCAAGACAACCTCGTCCCTACCACCCATCTTTTTTTCCCCATCTGTCATACCATGCTGACATGTCTTTCAAGAAGGATGTTTTGTTGGAGTTCTTGTCTTTTAATATAGATGTCATTTCCTCATACAGGTTCATCTGGTTTGGGCCGGCCCTAAAAACATCTCTCTGAGTTTATGTCAAGAGTGGTCACTAGTTTAAAATCCCTGAATATACTATGGGACCACTGACCACACAGATGGCAAGCAATCCAGGCCTGTCTTAATCCCTTACCCTTCCTGCAGACGACACAGATCTTCATGGTAGTGTTCATCTTAGCAGTACTAGACAACTCTCCTAGCTAGCTAGTCTATAATTCCCCGATGTATTTAATTTTTTGTAACAGTTCTTCCGATTTGGCTTTATTTCCAAAGAAACCGTTTGAATTCCACAAAAAGCGTTTGAATCCCCCAGAATCCAGCAAAATCCATTTGAATCCGCCCGAATCCAGCGAATCCGGTAATCCAGTTAGTGGATCGCTGTATATCTTTTTCCTAATAAGCACCTTAATTAATAGCAGATCTGTCTATCTGTATTGTAACTATTTGTTGTAGTTACTGTTTGAGTGTTTGATAGGACGTGTAGAGCCCCGTCAGTTAGTGAAACCAGTCAGAGGATACATTGTTATCAACGAATCCGTTTGAATCCGGTGGCCCGGTGGCTAAAGCTCCCGCTTCACACACGGAGGGCCCGGGTTCGATTCCCGGCGGGTGGAAACATTCGACACGTTTCCTTACACCTGTTGTCCTGTTCACCTAGCAGCAAATAGGTACCTGGGTGTTAGTCGACTGGTGTGGGTCGCATCCTGGGGGACAAGATTAAGGACCCCAATGGAAATAAGTTAGACAGTCCTCGATGACGAACTGACTTTCTTGGGTTATCCTGGGTGGCTAACCCTCCGGGGTTAAAAATCCGAACAAAATCTTATCTTATCTTATCATTGGATGAATTCGGGCAGATCCGGATTAGCTCACTGGGTGATATTGGACTAGCTCATAAAAGGACTACTGGAAAAAAATTAAACAGTAATATGTGTTCAGTTTGATACTAAAGTATAACTTGCGTGTTTAGGCGCCGATGGCTTCAATATATGGAGATTACTGGAGGAATATTGATTTTCCTTGTGTATATTGCTACCGCTTCTAACTACAGGTTTACCACACACTGTATACGTCACTTCATCACAATAAGTACTAACAACTATACACTGTTTATCATATTTCTACAAAACTGACGTACACAGTGTATAAAGTCTTGAACGATTCCTTACTGAGGTACCGGAACGCTATTCTCAGGTTTGCCAGGCGCCCTTATGCTGCAGCAGTTGTCTGGTTAATGTATAGCCACGTTGGGTTACCCAGTGTAATCTGTGAACATATTTTCTCTTCATGTAATGGACTGAGTGGCAGGAAGTCTCTGTGGGTTCCTGGTAGTGTTTCTACCATACATAAATACTTTTCCTGTGTTCCCCAGGAAGTTACATCAAACACGGTCATTCTAATTGAAAACAATGGCGTCTTTTGCTTCCAGCTACACACCACCCAAGCTAACAGGACTTAGTTGGATTAATTTTAATATGAGATTAGTAAGTTCTTGGTGGACAGTGATAGCAGGCGTCAACTAATGTTATTAAAACTAATTAATTACCTTCCATGTCATTTTTTTTTTTTTTTTTGAAGATTCGCCGGTATTCTCCCCGCCCGGGCCTTTTCCAAGTTGTGGCCCGGCCTTGTCTCCCTGTCTTGGGAGTGTCTGAAACCTAAGTCTCCCATGAGGGGAGACACAAGTACCCCCTCATCTTTGGGACCAACTGTCTCCAGGCCTAGCCACATTCCCCGCCCTCACGGGGCTCGTAGGGAGAAGCTAGGCCTCTGGTCTGTCATCCCCGCCCCAAGGAAGCTAATGGGAATGACAGTCTTGTGAGCTGCAAGCTCCGGCTCAGGCACCTACCCTACCCTAGAAGGGCCGGGCATGGTGTCGATGTTGTTCCATGTTATTATTATTATTAAAGATTCGCCGGCATTCTCCCGGCCCGGGCCTTTTCCAAGTGGTGGCCCGGCCTTGGCTCCCTCTTTAGGGAGTGTCTGAGACCTAGGTCTCCCATGGGAAGAGGCACAGGTGCCTCCTCATCTTAAGGACCAAGTGTCCCCAGGCCTAGCTAGGGGCTAATGGGAATGACAGTCTTGTGAGCTGCAAGCTCGGGCTCAGGCACCTACCCTACCCTAAAAGGGCTGGGCATGGTGTCGATCGTTGTTGTTGTTATTATTATTATTAAAAATTTGCCGGTATTCTCCCGGCCCGGGCCTTTTCCAAGTGGTGGCCCGGCCTTGGCTCCCTATTTAGGGAGTGTCTGAGACCTAAGTCTCCCATGGGAGGAGGCACAAGTACCCTCTCATCTTTGGGACCAACTGTCCCCAGGCCTAGCCATAAGCTAGGCCTCTCTGGTCTGTCATCCCCGCCCCAAGGGGGCTAATGGGAATGACAGTTTCGTGAGCTGTAAGCTCGGGTTCAGGCACCTACCCTACCCTAGAAGGGTTAGGCATGGTGTCGATGACCCAGATCAGATCAGAGGACTCACAGGTAAGGACCCACGAGGGGCGAGGGGCAAGTGGGGACAGTGCGAAGAACAGAATCGATGACCCATTATAATTTTTGACTGCTTTATAGAATTAATTCTACCCTCCTATAGACGTCTGGATCCCACTATAGCAGTGTATAATGCTGATATATTAAATTACATTTTTAATAATTTCTAAGATACTTTACTTAAAAAACAAAGATAAAAGTTAAAGGTATGTGTCGTAAAATATAAATATAATAGAATTAAGCTATCTAATAATTCCTATTATGGATATTAAGGGATGCTAATAGTTCAGTCAGCCCTATAACTGAAACAAACGTTGATAACAGAGAATTGAGAAATTATTTTCCACAGTTATCTGTGAAAACAAAGATGGCAGCAGAGTGCTGCCATCTTTCACTCGCCCAACCTTAGTGGGGGAACTGTTGAAGGATTACACAATTAATATTATGCATGCCTTTTTAAATAATTTATTATGATTAAGAGAAATACATGTATAAGGCAGATTGAAAATTCTCGAGAGAGGTCTTAGGAACATTGTTTTAAGCTTAGTTTATACATCCAACTGATCTCAACTAAAGCAGCTAAAGCCTTGGGTAGTTTTAAGCTTAGTTTATACATCTAACTGATCTCAACTAAAGCAGCTAAAGCCTTGGGTAGTTTTAAGCTTAGTTTATACATCCAACTGATCTCAACTAAAGCAGCTAAAGCCTTGGGTAGTTTTAAGCTTAGTTTATACATCTAACTGATCTCAACTAAAGCAGCTAAAGCCTTGGGTAGTTTTAAACTTAGTTTATACATCCAACTGATCTCAACTAAAGCAGCTAAAGCCTTGGGTAGTTTTAAGCTTAGTTTATACATCTAACTGATCTCAACTAAAGCAGCTAAAGCCTTGGGTAGTTTTAAGCTTAGTTTATACATCCAACTGATCTCAACTAAAGCAGCTAAAGCCTTGGGTAGTTTTAAGCTTAGTTTATACATCTAACTGATCTCAACCAGAGCAGCAAGAGCTCCGGTAAAAGCAGCGTTGTAGTCACAAGCAACCTCGTTGTGCTGGTAGTCGCCACGGTCGTCATTGTAGCTGCCATCCTGGGGTAAGACAGTTATAATTATCTTTAAAATGAGATTCCATCCCATCGGGAAAGTAAAAATTATATATAAGAAATACTGAGGATCATTCTGACAACCTCAGTGAAACTGTGTTGGTCAATTTGTCCGGAAAAATGTACCGTCAAGGCGACTCCATCAGTGGTGTTCGTGTTACAGTGGACACAACATCGAGGTAAACACATCAACCCCTAGAAATAACAGTATAAAATAAGTCTTGAATGAGAACAGTAATTTGTTTAAGATCAATAAGTCGCATTTCGGGACATGAAGGGTTTAGATGACAGCCCAGTATATAAGAACATATAAGAGGAGGAGCACTGCAGCAGGCCTACTAGCTTTTATTAGTGTATAGCTCAGTAACACCAGTACTTGGTTTTGGGTACAAAAAAGTGAACTATAAATAAGCCTAAGAAGTGCAATAACATGCACTGAAAAATGCATTGAAAGGTGTTTATTTATTAGTGTATATACACTTAAAGGTGTGACTTAATTAATTCATGAACTCTAAGGTCTTATAAACTCAGTCATGTACCTAAATTATTGGGAGAGCCTCAAATCCCTAGAACTGTACTCCTTAGAATGTAGGCGAGAAAGATACATCATAAGCTACACCTGAAAGATTCTGGAGGGATTGGTCCCAAATCTGCACACCGAAATCACTACATATGAACACAGAAGGCTTGGCAGGCGGTGCAAGATACACTTGATGAAAAGTAAGGAAGTGATAAGTACATTGAGAGAGAAGTCAATAAGTGTATAAGAACCACGACTCTCCAACACCCTCCCGTTATACATAAGGGTAATTACCAACAGACCCCTGGCTGTCTTCAAGCAGGGACAGGACAGATCAAATCAGTTCCTGATCAGTCAGGTTGTGGTGCATAAGTGGTCTGTAGGTGGCAGGTACCAACAGCCTGATTGATGAGGCCAGCTACCAAGTGGCCTGGTCTGGGATCGGGCCGTGGGGGCGATGACCTCTGGTAGCAACTACAAGTAACCTACAAGGCTGTAATTATCAGCATATATAGACTATAGTGTGACACTCTGGCACACTGATACTACCAGTTGTTATGCAGGATACTGCATTGTTGTAATAAACTGTGTACAATATAAGGAGTTTATATTGGTAGGAAAAAAGTGTTCCATAAATATATCAATAATGTCAGTGTTATGGGTGGACATGTATTAGACACGGCCAGTTGGACACGTATTAAACAGACGAACAACTGACGTGTGGAGTGACTAGCAAACAGTCGCTGGGAAGCTCTACTGGAGTCAGGTTCAAGTACTGTGTGTGCTTTTAGACCGTATTTTCTTTTTCAGATTTTGCTGTCCTCTTAAGTTGGTTTTGGCACGACGCTGGTATTTATGTGGGTCCCATGTGAGTTGTGGTAAGTACAGAAGTAATAGTTTGTTATAACCTGCAGGCTGGACGCCTGGAGAGGGATGTGGGTATAGATACCCACTGTTGTGGGTATAGATGCCCACTGTTGTGGGTATAGATACCCATTGTTGTGGATATGTGTAATTTTCATACCGCCCAATGTTAATAAACTAGTGGCAGTGTATTAGTGTTTTTCGTAATGTGTGAAATGAGTTGAGGGCAGGTTTTGTGTTGTATATAATCAAAACAAGATTTCTGGAAGAGATTGTTGGAGGAGATTCTTGGAGGAGATTGTTGGAGAAGATTGTTGGTGGAGATATAGGCTACGCTTCTCTGTGTAGATGTATCGTCCAAAATTTATCTTTGTTCTGCAACAAGTGACTTTCTACTGTTCTGGTCAACAATATTTGTCATCCAAGACGTAAACATCATAATAATAAACAATATTGACAAGTTAATAAGTAACTTGTACATTTGTCTTATCATCCAACAATATGTAAATAATTGAGACAATACTACAATAATGACAATTATTATTGACCAGTGTGCCTGACTATACATCAAAACTTCATGACATTCCATCACTGCTATTCTTGATAAATTATTGTTAACAATACGGACTATATATTGGTGAAAGAACACGAGCAATTAATGAAACAGTTACCGCGTCCAGTCACCAAGACGAATCACGGAATTATTACGAGTTAGTGAGTCATGATTCACCAAGACAGAAGCTCCCAGTGTAGTAACAATCGCAACAGATGTTTTATTAACTATACATGTGTCCACTTACCCAACTACTAGTTAGAAAATTTCCAAGATGAACCTTGAAGGTACAGTTGTTGAAACTAACCTGAGCTGGACCACCGACGAGAGCACCGTAGAGGGTTTGTGGGTTGGGTCCTGGGTTACTGAAGCCGTTGGAACAGTCCTCAGGAGGATCTGGACACGAACTGAACATGGTGAGACGGAAAGTTAGTTCCTTGTGTACATGTATCATTTACCTGATTCAAATCGTTGTTAATAAGCAGTATACACAATGATAAATTGTAGAGTGAAATGGTATGATAATTACGACTAATTGGAAAACACTGAGACATATTATTGCAATTTAAAAAGGGAATATATGACAATATTCCGCTTAATTTAGAAGATTTTTTCAAGCCATTAATTTGTAAGTTTATAATGTACAGGTACAGTTATCGTACCTATTAACATTTATGTATATTACCCAAAATAATAAAAAAAAATCAAAGTGACTTACATCCATTTGGGTTCTTTTAAAACTTGTAAATCAAGCAGAACTTTCTCGTATGTGAAGTTCATATATTACATTAAGTCTCTGTCTTCAGAATAATTAAATCTGAAAATGTTCTTTAAAAAGTGTGTTCAGATTTCTGAACTAAATTAATGAGTTGTTATTGAAGCATAACGATCGCACTGCTAAGACTTTGTTCATATTCTCCCCACTAATATTTCTTAGTATCTTATACGTCATAATCATGGCTCACCAAGTTCTTCTCTTTTACAAAGAGTCAGACTTGCGAACTGTCTGGTTGCAAGTAACTAAACTAAGTTACTGAATGTGTTTTATCAGGTGGAGGCTCCACGCTGGTGCTCGGTGCTCTAAAACTTAACATGCCTTTTATAAGGATTCTAACAGTTCTGGCAGAGATATATCATTTTCTCATGAATACAACCCGGGTTATGCTGTATGAAGACATGTATGTATGTGTGTACTCAGATATATTTTTTTTTTATTCGCCGGTACTCTCCCGGTCCGGGTCTTTTCCGAGAGTGGCGACCCGGCCTTGGGGAGCGTCTTGAGACCTCAGTCTCTCGTGGGAGTAGGTACAAGTACCCCCTCATCTTTGGGACCAAGTGTCCCCAGGCCTAGCCACAGTCCCCGCCCTCACGGGGCTCAGAGGGAGAAGCTAGGCCTCTGGTCTGCCATCTGCCCCGCCCCAAAGGGGCTCGTGGGGATGTCAGTCTTGTGAGCTGCAGGTGGGAGCAAGCTCAGACTTCTTCTCCTCAGGTATATGTAGTGAGTACACACACACATACATACACTGCCGAGAACAGACGTCGGTCCTCATTCTGGGAAAGCAAGAACTATGATTGTGTTGTGTAGAGCGTTGTGAGTACTGTCCCAAAATAGATTATTACTAATATGGAATATTTTCTGTGTGTGTGTGTACTCACCTAATTGTACTCATCTAATTGTGGTTTCAGGGGTTGATTCATAGCTCCTGGCCCTGCCTCTTCACTGGTCGTTACTGGGTTACTCCCTGTATTGTGAGCTTTATAATACCTCTTCGTGGATCCATGTGTACTCTCCTATTTGTGGTTGCAGGGGTCGAGACATAGCTCCTGGCCCCCGCCTCTTCACTTATGTGTGTGTGTAAGCATACCTGGAGCGGTGGTGGGGCTTCTGGGGTGGGTTGACACCGTAGCCCACCACGAAGGACTGGTACCTTGGGTTGTCTCCCAGCAACTGGCCGATCTGGCCCCTGGCCCAGTTCTGGTTGGAGCTTGTATCAAATCCGTTCTTGGCAGCCTGAAAGCAAAAAAAATAATGATTAATTAATTTCAAATATAGTTTTCCTGAAATATGACGCATGCGATCTTAGAGATGAAGATTTTAGTGAAAATATTGAGCCCGCAGGATAGTAACCCAGGATAACCCAAGACAACTAAGCAGTGTGGCTTATGTCCACTGTTATTCTCTCATCTTACTTCCCAGAATGCAGCCCACAACAGACGGTTAAGACACAGTCATCTACATACTGTTTTGCGAACAGGTAGAGAAGGACTTAGATGTTGAAAATGGTATAAATTACTGACAAGCTGATGAGGAACACGCTGCAACAACTAATTATCTTATATTGTTGCAATGTTTTGTCTACGCGGTAGACTTATCCGTCAATTACAGAAGAGAATGTATTGTAGGCAGGAGGAATAGGTGACATTGTTCTGGGTGTCTGAGGCAACTCACCCAGAGAACAAGAAAGGTGACATTGTTCTGGGTATCTGAGGCAACTCACCCAGAGAACAAGAAAGGTGACATTGTTCTGGGTGTCTGAGGCAACTCACCCAGAGAACAAGAAAGGTGACATTGTTCTGGGTATCTGAGGCAACTCACCCAGAGAACAAGAAAGGTGACATTGTTCTGGGTGTCTGAGGCAACTCACCCAGAGAACAACAAAGGTGACATTGTTCTGGGTGTCTGAGGCAACTCACCCAGAGTGCAATAAAGGCGACGTTGGCAGCGGCACGATTGGAGCCCCAGTCTGTCAGGTAAACCAAGCCTTCAGGTGTGTACGTCGCTTCGTTCTTCAGCCAATTAATGTACTGTACGAACATGTCAGAGTACTGAGAGTCTCCAGTCAACTGCCAGAACAGCATCTGCAAATGATATTATTATTAATAGTAAAAATCAACAACAGAACAAGATGCGGCCAATCAGTCAGTCTCTCACCCAGGACTTTACTGTTAGTTTAATATGTTTATTATGTACCCCATACCCATCCTGTGGGCGGTAGTCAAAAGATTACAGAGGTACATAATTGGTCCAGGGACTGGACTCCAAAATTTTGATAGCTGAGCAAGTTACAGAGGTAATGAACTCACAATTTACAAAGGTAATGAACTCACAATTTACAAAGGTAATGAACTCACAATTTACAAAGGTAATGAACTCACAATTTACAAAGGTAATGAACTCACAATTTACAAAGGTAATGAACTCACAATTTACAAAGGTAATGAACTCCAGGTAAGTCTGGTCACAATCATGACAAGTTACAAAGGTATTTACAGATTACAGAGGTACGTAATGGGTCCAGGGACTGGGCCCCCAAAGTTTTGATAGCTGAACTAGGTACAAAGGTAATGAGCTCACAAGTTACAAAGGTAATGAATTCTGTAGAATGGTTACTTACGTTTATACTTTGGCTACAATCATGAACAAATTATAGAGTAATGAGCAATTCACACTTCCACACCCGGTCACAACTGTAGTGAGTTATTGGTGCAAATATTGATTGTTGAGTCACACACACACACACACACACACACACACTTTAGTTTAATATGTTTATTATGCACCCCATACCCATCCTGTGGGCGGTAGTCAAAAGATTACAAAGGTACATAATGGGTCCAGGGACTGGACCACACAGATGAAAATTGACATACAACATTCATATAAGCTACAGATGTGATGTAGAAGAATCAGAGGCACAATATCGTTACAACATGTAAAGTAAAAGGACACAAGTGCAACTAATGTGACGTTTTTATTGTGGCAACGTTTCGCTCTCCAGGAGCTTTGTCAAGCCGTTACAAACAATACATGGACACAGAGGGTATATATAGGCTTAGAGTGAGGTGCAATACTAGTGGTAGTAGTAATATAATTACAACTACTACTACTACTACCACTAGTATTGCACCTCTGAGCCTATATATACCCTCTGTGTCCATACATTGTTTGTAGCGGCTTGATAAAGTTCCTGGAGAGCGAAACGTTGCCACAATAAAATGCCACATTAGTTGCACTTGTGTCCTTTTACTTAACATATTGTCGGTAATTCTACCAACATTATTACAATCGTTACAACAAACATTCACAATTAACACGCAAATTGTAAATGAAAACTGAATGACGTTTTGGTCGGTCCAGAATCATTGTCTATCAGTTAGAGGACTGCCCTTGTATATATATATATATATATATATATATATATATATATATATATATATATATATATATATATATATATATATATATATATATATATATATATATATATATATATATATATATATATATATATATATATATATATATATATATATATATATATATATATATATATATATATATATGTCGTGCCGAATATGTAAAACTGGTCAATTAGCAAGAACTCATTTAAAATTAAGTCCTTTCTAAAATTTTCTCTTATACGTTTAAAGATATATTTTTTTCATTAATGTTAATGTAAAAATTTTTAATTTTGCACCAAAAGAATCTTAGAAAACTTACCTAACCTTATTATAACAAGAACAATTTATTTTAGCCTAACCCAACTAAATATATTTTAGATTTGTTTACAATAATTTAATACTAAACAAACACAGTGAAATATATTTTTTTTCGTTAGGCTCAGAATAATTTTGGTGAAATTATTGCATACACAAATTTTCACTTGTCCTATATGGCAAGATGAGCGTTGCTGTTTAAGCCAAGATCGCAAGTTCTACCTATTCCGCACGACATATATGTTATATATATATATGTATATTATATATAAGCATTTTTTCTGTTATGTTAAAAATATTATTGTAGGTAAGTAACTTACGAAGACTCCAACATGCTTGTCGTCCCATCCTAGGCCGCCGGTGTAAGTTCCAAGCCAGAACTCATCATAGTGTCCTCTGGCACGCACCAGGTAGTTGTTGTCACCTGTAGCCCTGGCCAGCCAGAGTGCAGCCCAGCACAGCTCATCACCATAAGCATATGAACTGTGGAGAGGCGAGACTATAGTCACTGACGTGATACTGTGAGAGTGAATGTAGGGAGAAACGTAAAGCATCGGTACATACTTAAGAAAGCCAGAACATTAAGTATCAGGCAAGAATAGACAGGTAGATCTTCATCTCACAAATAATCATGAAAAGATCGAACCTCCAATATTTCGTATATGTTACACATTTTGAGTTCTCAATCAAATACCTGATTTTGATGCTTAAGAGATACCCAAAATATATTCCATTCAACTAATTACAACTCTTATTTGTCAGATTCATTGTGTAAAATTAGATAAAACTGTCTTACTCGACCAACCATAAGCTTTTATACCAATTTATAACTCGTAGTAATGTAAGGTGTGAGGAATAAATAAGTCTCAAGCAGTGAAATAAGAAGTGGAATATACCGTCACGAGTTAAAATGTTATCTTTACCCGTAGTAGTTGCTTGCATCTGTGATGGAGTTGCTATAAATCTCCCGGTAGTTGTCTGCGAAGTCGTAGAGTTCCTTGGCCACTGCCAGCATCTCTGATGAATAGGACGAGTCTACATCCTGAAGTGAAGAAGGGTAAGAGATATAATACTAAGGTTTATATCTACGACATTCACATCACTAACGGTGTGTCAATTATTTGGCCTAAAACATTTTCTCGTTATAATGTTGATTCACTCACGGCACAAGTGGCACTGCCAGTAAATTTAACCCTGGTGGGCAAAATCTGAATTCTTCTAATGCTGTGAATATGATTTAGAGAGTGTTAGAAATAATGTACATTTTTTAATAGATGGAATAGAAGCATACAGCTTTCAAGAAAGCACTATAAATTTTCGGCAGAAGTTCCGAAATTTCATATAAAGATGAGCAGACAATAAATAAAACAGATTACATACGAGACAGCAAAGACTGAATTTAACATCAGACACTGTAGTTGATGCAAGAAGAAGAAGAGGACTTTATTTGCCATTTATCCTCAGAAAAGAATAACCCATGTTAAAAGAAATCAAACAAGATATTTTAGTTCATTGTAAATGGCCATTGTGTTTTAGGACTTACTGGCCCTGAGTTCAAACTGCACCCATTACGTCATTTAGTACATTGCAGTTGGCGAGGCCTTCCGTAGCATGAGACACAACAGTGGACTCTTGGTAGGTAACAGAGGCAACAGATGTTAGAAGATTTGCTCATACTGCTCACTCACTGATCTCTTTAAATTATGAGCCAAATGCATAATACAACAGAAACATTGAATAAACAGAAGCACTACAACAACCACAACTTTTTCAGAAAACAAAGGACTGAGGCATAACACATCACAAGACGAGCAACAGACTCCAATACAAAGGTTGGATTAAGAATTACCTTGAAGACAATGGATGCTGCGGCCAAGGCAGCAGCTGTCTCTCCGGCCAAGTCACTTCCTGCAAAAAGATGAAGATACTTCAAGTTGACATCATTGTAAATAAGACTGATCATTTTTGCTAATATACATACTATTACATATCCTGTATCTGTCTTCTCAGTAGCGAGCTGAACTGTCTAGTGAAGACCTGCTTAGTGGATTCTCTGTATTAGTCAACTGAAGGGTTAAATATGTTGTCTCTGTGTTTGCAGAAGCTGTTTACTAAGGTAAAGGCAGAACTGGAGGAAGCTAGTAAGCAAATATAGTCTCTTAAAGAGAGAACAAAAAAAATCACACATAGAACAAGAAAAAGGATAACAGAGTTATTAACTTCAACGAATGAAAATTGGTCTGCAAGAAAGAATTAAAGTTGAAAATAAAGATGGTTGAAGAAACCACTGTTGAGACTTCCATTTCCATGAGAATGACAAAACGAGACACAGAAGGTAAAAATAATCTCGTCATAGGTGACTTTCAAATTAAATTCCTGAACATTACTCCCTGTAACAGTGATATTAAGAGGAAGCAGAGAGTGTTTTTCTGGAGGTGAGACAGAGGATATAGTTAAAATATTAGGAAACATTGGTAATGAGAGCAACCTTATCATCTGCCTCAGTACTGGAGGAATGATGTTGAGAAGTATAGGAGGGAGGACCTGCTTACAAGGTAGAAGAGAAGAATTCCTGCCAAGTGTGTCATTTTTCCACCAGATGTTACTGGGAATGAATTGTTTTCCAGAGCAATTGATGTTAACTGTTTGCTGGACAAGTGCTGTAACAGCATTTCAGTAATGTTTTATAATAATTAAGATCAATACTTCTTCAGGAATGTGTATTCCAGGGATGGGAAGGAGTTATCTAGGGCACGGGTGGCAGCACTAGCTATTCCAGTTGTGAAGGCAACTGATTCATGTATCAGGATTTAAACTAAAAATAAAGGTATTGTTGTATGTGTGGAAGAGAAAGTTTTGTAGTACTAAGATTGAGGCGGTATATATTATCAAGTTCGTGATATTATGGATTTTATAAACAACAGTTATCAGCGGAGTTAAACAAAACTGTTGGTTTATGTCAAACAAGGTGACAAAAGAGCCTCAGTGGAAATGGTTGAATGATGAACATGGAGAAGATACAGAAGGAAGACTCAGTGTTTATTGTACAAACAGTGGTAGCACTAATAAGTCATCAGCGTCCTTGCTAACTAACCTGGGTGAGATTGATCGATCTTAAAGGAAGGTCGCTCCATGGTCATCTCCTCAGGACGTCCCCAGTATGCGTGGTCTATATCACCTTGACCAACCTAGAGAATAACCCAGTACCAGATATAAATTTAAAATACACAAAAGGTCTGCTTTCAACCCACATCATGCCATTCAACCATAAATATTGCAAATTATCATAATCTTCAAAATTCAGGAAATATTTATGAAAGAATAGCCAGATTTGTTGACATCAATATGACATACATTTTTGCTAATAAAAATTACTATAATCATTTTATCATTTCATTCTAATCACGTGTGGTAAACTAGTGAGCTTCTCACCTGGCCGTAGAGCTCGTTCGTGGCAGTGTGAGCCTTCAGGAAGTAGTCAGTGGCCCACTTGACCGCTGCTCGACCGTAATTCGTCTGACCTGTAAGGGTCACACCAGTTATGAACCTCGAAAACTTGAGAGAAGACTCGGCATTAGAGAAAAAACTGGGACAAACAGAGAAGATTCGGCCATTCAGAGAAAACTTGATCATATCATAATATAATAATAATTATTATCTTTGTTTCTATAGAGATTTCGGGCAACCTAGGTTAATTTTGTCCCCAGGATGCGACCCACACCAGTCGGCTAACACCCAGGTACCTACTTACTGCTAGGTGAGCATGGACAGCAGGTGTCTTAAGGAAACATGCCTTAATATTTCCATGACTCACGAAGTCGTAATGACACGATTGCAAACAAACCACATCACGGGCGGGGATAGAACCTGCGACCAGAGTCGTAAAACTGGAGTGTTATGACTCTGATCGCAGGTTCTATCCCCGTCTCTGGTATGTTTTTTTTTTTTGGTTTCCACCCGTACCGGGGATCGAGCCGGGGACCTCATTACATGAACAGAGTGTGCTACCAACCAAGCTACTAAACCATTATGGGTCATTTACACTCTCCACAAGCTAGGCAAGAAACGCACAAATGTGATTCAAACAAAGGAATCCCTGTATTGCATAACCCCAGCCCCCTGCACCTTAACACATGCAAAAATATTAGTGCAGAGTTCGGTATAAGTTTCTAATGCAGTTAAATATTAGTTAAAGGTTGGAAGTGAATCAGAACTGGTATTTTCAGTTTCTCACATGGACACTAATGTTAGAATTTCCTAAATTAAAATTGCAGATTAGAACATATACAGTCTTACATAAAAATATACAACTTCCACTAAGAAACAACAGCTATAGAGTCAAAACCGAGGAAGAATTATTATCTCAGAGGAACCAATATCCTAAAATACCCCAGCACATCAAGTTTGAAGTTGTTCACAGTTGCATTATCACGTTATCAACTGTGAAGGAAGAAATCAATTATATGAGTCACTGAAATTACCGCAAGAAAATCTATATTTTAATTTTCCCATTTTTCCATGAAAAAATGTAAATTGGAACCAACAGAGACCAAAATAAATCTTAGCTTTCCTCTAAATAGAAATTAACAATATTTAACGTAATTTATTATTACTACATCAATATCGATCACTGAAACAGCAAGACGCTAGTCTCACCAGCTTTACTGTGTCCATCAGCGAAGTCTAGGACACCCCAAGCCAGCATGGTGGTAGTGAAGGCCATCGGGAACCCAAACTTGACGTGGTCGCCAGCTGGAGATGAGAAAACATGAAAATGGAGGAACACTATAGCAGGCCTACTGACCCATATAAGGCAGCTCCTTCTGAAAACCAACCATTCTTACCCATCTGTTTGTTCTACCTTTATTATAAACTACCCAAGAATTTTCTTCAGTACCTCCTTCAGGTACTAATTAAACTTAGCCCTTCTCACTCGTATTTTTCTCTAATCTCTTTTTAAAGCTACTCCAGGTTTTAGCTTCTGTTACGTAAGAATATGAGAACTGAGGAACCCTAAATATTGTGGAATTATTATTGTTATAAGAGTCAATGAAGATTTCTTCTGTTACTAAATTTAGCTTCATCAACACCCACTGTTATGTTTGTGTGTTCTTACCATCAGCAAAGATCTCATACTTAAAAGTTAGTGATAACGAAGTATATTGCCCAGTTCCTGGATCCACTATGTGCCTCTAATCCTTTACCACAGCCCACACCATGGGTATTGTGTAACTACCACCCACACCATGGGTATTGTGTAACTACTGCCCACACCACGGGTGTTGTGTAACTACTGCCCACACCATGGGTATTGTGTAACTACTGCCCACACCACGGGTATTGTGTAACTACTGCCCACACCATGGGTATTGTGTAACTACTGCCCACACCATGGGTATTGTGTAACTACCACCCACACCATGGGTATTGTGTAACTACCACCCACACCATGGGTATTGTGTAACTACCACCCACACCATGGGTATTGTGTAACTACCACCCACACCATGGGTATTGTGTAACTACCACCCACACCATGGGTATTGTGTAACTACTGCCCACACCATGGGTATTGTGTAACTACTGCCCACACCATGGGTATTGTGTAACTACTGCCCACACCATGGGTATTACGTAACTACTGCCCACACCATGGGTATTGTGTAACTACCGCCCACACCATGGGTATTGTGTAACTACCGCCCACACCATGGGTATGGTGTGCATAATACAAATGCTAAACTAACAACTTACCATCGTAGTAGCCGCCAGTGAGGTCGTGACCCACGTCAGAGCCGTCACTAAGAGCGGAGTCCCAACGCCAAGTGACCCGTTGATCTGAAGGCAGATGACCTGAGCGCTGAGCCTCGTAGAACAAATATGACATGCACAACACCTGAGAGGAAGAGACCATCAATGAGGCACATTAGAGAAGCCAGAAAGAAGCGGAAAGAGACAGCCATAAGAGACGATGAACAAAGGAGAGATAAGGGGAAAATGAGAAATACATAATATCGGACAATGGAAGGAATGAACAATAATAGAAATATGACAAGAGGAAAATGAAAAAGAGAGTAAATCAGACAACAGAAAAGAGCAAGGAAAAAAAAAGGGGGGGGGGTTGAAGAGAAGAACCAAGAGAGATTATTATTATAATCAAGGGGAAAGCGCTAAGCCCGTAGGATTATACAGCACCTGTGGGGTGGATGGAAGGTATTCAGGGTTAATTCAGGGAACTGGAGCACAGATCCAGTTCCCTAGATCAAGAGCCTCTCACCAGCATCAAGGAACCTTCCTTGAAGGGAGAGAAGAGAGAGCGATCACATCGATCAAGGTAAAGCAGCGACTGGGGCAAAAATTCTGGACATGGACACAAAACAAAATGATAATATACACAAGAAGTAATGAACTATACAGAGAAGAGGAGACCTAAAAAGAAGTGAGAAAAATGGACGAGAGAATTAGAACTTTCATCGTAAACTTAAATTCTGGATATTTAAAGTCATAGCATTTTTCACTCTACTTGTAAAATTTATACAATTTTTTTTTCTAGCGATCAACAGCAATCCAACATCTTGCTCTGAACGACCCATACAGATTTACCACTTCATGAAATATAATAATAATAATAATAATAATAATAATAATAATAATAATAATAATAATAATAATATAAACTAAATATTTTTCAAAAACAAGTAATTTAGATTACATAATATACTTGTAACCTTGGCAAAGCACATGCTGTTATTCCTTAAAAAATCTTTGACTGCCATCCCCACGAGCCCCTTCGAGGCGAGGTAGATGGCAGACCAGAGGCCTAGCTTCTCTCTACGAGCCCCGTGAGGGCGGGGAATGTGGCTAGGCTTGGGGACACTTGGTCCCAAAGATGAGGAGGTACTTGTACCTCCTCCCATGGGAGACTTAAGTCTCGAGACACTCCCCAGATAGGGAGCCAAGGCCGGGTCACCACTACTTGGAAAAGACCCGGGCCGGGAGAATACCGGCGAATAAAAAAAAAAATCAAAGCATTTTAACATGCGGAACCACTTCAGGGACATTATTATTACTATTATTATTATTATTATTATTATTATTATTATTATTATTATTATTATTATTATTATTATTATTATTATTATTATTATTAGATGTAGTATTAGTAATGAAAACCGTGTGATTCCATTTTGAAGTTTTTTTCAAAATTCACGAGATTCCCAGCAGTTTTAAGAGCAATACGTAGACGTGTAGGGATCATAAGCAGCGCCATGTGTCTGGCAGGGTTATACTTCTTCACTCTAATGCTTTGGACTGAAGACGCCAATGGTTGGCAAAACGTTACCAGGATTATTCTTGCAGGTGTCTCCTGGATGTCCACTTCTGGTATGGATTAATTAGGATACAACGTGAAATTAAGAGACATGTGAAACATCAGGGTATCTTTATTGTAGACGTTTCGCCATCCAGTGGCTTTATCAATACAAACTCCAGGACATAACTTGAAGACAGTAGAACTATGTACAGAAGATGAGGTAATCAGTCCCTCAGCCTTGGAGTAGGTGCGAAGAAAACCGTAGTCGTGGAGATTCTGAAGCAGAAGCAAGGCGCCTGACGCTTATATACTAACGTCAGGTGGAATGGGACGTGTAGCAGACGAGGCGCCTTGCTTCTGCTTCAGAATCTCCACGACTACGGTGCTCTTCGCACCTACTCCAAAGTTGAGGGACTGATTACCTCATCTTCTGTACATAGTTCTACTGTCTTCAAGTTATGTCCTGGAGTTTGTATTGATAAAGCCACTGGATGGTGAAACGTCTACAATAAAGATACCCAGATGTTGCACATGTGTCTTAAGTTAATCTTGTCGGTATTGTATACCATTCTTGTACAAGATTACCTTCACCTGGTGTTTGACAGGAGTGAGGTAGAAAACTTCACCCTTAACTCCCTCCAGTCCTGTTAATGATAGTCTAACATTGAACTTGTTATGCAAACTCTGTTATCATCAGCAAAGGAGGACACAGTGCTGTGGCTTACATCTCTGTGTATATCACATATGAGGATAAGGAGAAAGATGGGAGCGAATATTGTACCTTGTAGAACAAAGCTTTTCACTTTACCCGCCTCTGACTTGACTCTGTTTACTATAATTCTTTGTGTTCTATTTGCTAGAAGTTATAGAACCATCTACCCACTTTCCCTGTTATTCCTCTATAATGCATTGTGTGTGCTATTATTCCATAATAGCACACAAGCATACTTGTCAAAGGGTTTTGCAAAGTCTTGATTGCTCTCCAGTGCGTTAAAGACCATGTCATAGTGGTCCAGTAATTGTCAGAGGCAGGAACGATCTGCTCTAAACCTATATTGCCCTGGGTTGTGTAACTGATGGGTATCCAAGTGGTTGGCGAACTTGCTTTTTAGAACCCTTTCAAAGATTTTTATGATGTAAGACGCTAGTGCTGTTGGTCTGCAGTTCTTTGCAAATGTTTTACTGGCACCTTTGTGGAATGGGGTTATTATCTATTGTTTATAGTGAATGTGGGATGACCCCTGTGTCTGTGCTCTCTTTCTATACAATATAAGGCATGTGAAAGAGGTTTCTTGCAGTTCTTGATAAACACTGAGTTCCATGAGTCTGGACCTGGGGCAGAGTACATGGGCATAAAAAAATGAATATAGATTGTCGAACCTTAGTCTGATTACCGGCTCTCTAAACGCTGGGTCACATTGAAAATTTCGGTATCTCACTCGTTTCTTTGCTGTCATCTTTGTAAATCCTATCTCGTTTAAGCAGAACACCAATACTGGATGTGTTTTTTCTTCAATTTCATATACGGCTTTAAATTCTTCATGTGTTTCTTGGCTTTTGTATGATTCCTTAAGCTTAACTTCGATTTTTTCTATTTTTCTGGCCAGTGCCTCCTTCCATATTTCAGATATACTTACTCCTTTGAGCAGCTCTGTGATTCTTCATCTTCACCTGTAGAGGGAGCGTCTCTCTCTTTCTAGTCTACATCTCTTCTTTTTTCTTAGGGGAATGTGCCTTCAGCATATCTCAAGTGCCACAGAGGTAATTCTTTCTACGCAAAGGTTCAGATCCGTGTTGCTTAAGATATCTTCCTAGCTTGTTTCATTTAGGACATGGTTAATGTGATCCCACTGTATGTTCCTGCTACTGAAGTTGAATTTGGTGAAGGCACCTCATAAATGATCTCGTTTTGCTGGTCAGGAGCCTTACATATACATGTATGTACTTCTATTATGTTGTGATCTGAGTGTATTGCCTATGAAACTATTATATTTTATACCAGATCATCATTATTAGTGAAGATAAGGTCAAGTGTATTTTCCAGTCTTGTTGGTTCCACTATTTTCTGGCTTAAGGTGAATTTGTTGCAGAGATTTAATAGCTCATGTGTGTGTGAGTTTTCATCTGAGCTGCCTCCTGGGGTTATCTCTGCTAACACATTATTTGCTACATTCCTCCGCTTTATGTGTCTTAAGTTGAAATCACCCAGCAACATGATATTTGGGGCTGGGGTTGGAAGACTTCCCAGACAGTAGTCAATTTTCAAAAGCTGTTTCTCGAATTACTGGGAAGTTGTATCTGGAGGCTTGTTTACAACCACAATGAGAAGGTTTTGGTTTTTAATCTTTACTGCCCAAACTTTGACTACATCATTTGAGGTGTTTAGTAATTCCCAGCAAATGAGCGGCTCTGTGACATACAGATCAATTGTCCCTTGTTGCCTGTTCTTTTTGTCGAAAGTGATTAAGTTATGCTCTGGGATCCATATTTCGTTGAAAATGTGATCCTTTGTATGAGTCTCTGCATTTGACTCTGTGAGGAGTCTACTGATGAAAGGTATTTTGTTATTTGTTGACGGCTTTGGGCCATTGAATGTTGTCATATTGATGGTATGTATGAGACCTTACTTGCTTTCACTAATATCTGTTGCTCTGGAGTGAGGGGCCAATGACTGTGCCTCCACTCCATTGGTGATCTGAGATGTTGTAGTACTTCTGTCATTTCCTAGCAGTTTTTTTCTTCCTGTCACTAAAAAAAAATCTCTTTCTGGAGTGGTGGAAACTATGCTGGCTTTGTTTCTCAAGGTCTGTGTGATCTGTACCACCTGGTCCCCTTTGCATGGTGTGCCTTGATGAATAACACATTCTTTCAAATATCCAAGACATGGAATTTGCACAGATTTGATTTCAGTATGCTGGAATATTTTTGTGGCTGGCTTCCCTTTTGGTGCAGTTTTTCCCGATCTCCCATTATCTGCAGTACCTCTACTAGCATTTGTCTCTTGACCTCCGGGGAGAGAGGATGCTCGCCTAGTCTGCTATGCCTGCCCTCTGGTGGTGGCTTTTTGCATCTGGGCGCCAAGATGGCGGTTCAAGCAGGCCAAAGGATGAACACTGTTTGCATTGAGCTGGTCAATGGCACACTCAGTGGCGCTACAATGAACTCCTTGCTACCTGCCATCATCAGAGACGTGTATGGTGTCCCCAATGACGAAGTATATGGTGTGGCTTTGAACGGGATTCCAGAGTATTTGTCAAAATGAATTGTGTTGGCTTCTACTACAGGATCATTGATGAGTAACAAGAGCGGAGGATGACTGTGAACTCAGCAATGGACGCCGTCTTGCATGATGTATCTAAGTATTATACATGGGTAAAGGTGAGAAACGTACCTTTTGAGGCGACTGTGTATGGCACACAAGAGGCATTCAACAGTTATGGAAAGGTCCATTCTGCTACTATGGGAGTATGGAAGGATGGGCCATATGAGGGGTTACCGGAGGGTTCCTATACCCTCAAAATGACTCTGGCTCAGCCTATACTGTCCTACATTGGTGGGTTACAGGATGCAAGTCTTCATGTACTATGCCGGCCAGAGAAGGACCTGTCACTTGTGTAGCTCTTATGATCATATGGCAGCACAGTGTCCTAGGAGACAGGCTCCCAGGGAACCTGGGATAACGGCTGTGGAGCAGCGTCCTTGTGAGTTGGTGTCAGAGTTGGGAGATGAGGAAGCAAGGACGATCGGTCATTGGAATGATGAGGTTGAGCGAGAGGAACGGATGGCTGAGACGTGTGTCACACTCCCGAAGGGGTTGGGGGAGTCGACAGGGATGTTGGCGACTCCACCGAGACGGAATGAAGTGCCTCAGGAGGACTTACTAGAGAAGGTGGTGAAAGTTTTTTTGGACGGGTCGAGGACCTGTGCCTAAAGTGTTGGTGGGGTCGAAGTGAGGGAGGAACAGCCGCCTGTGGTAAGCACTTCATCTGGGACTCGCTTGCAACAAGTGGTGAAGGTGGTGGCTCTAGGAAGAGGACGGCTGGCATGGCTGAGGTCGAGGAGGTTCTCACGCCGGGAAAAAAGCTTGGGTAACGGAGGAGGAGCTGTTGGATCGGAATGACCCAGTGGAGACAGAGTTACAGGGTGGGGAGGGGGTCCAGGGAAAGTCTGGTGAGGTGTCGGGTCGATGTACTGGTAAAGGTGTGGTAGACAAGCCACAGTGGCATAGAGGGAAGCTGCCGGCATAGAGGGAAACTGCCGCTCATATAACTTTCAGGTGTGTCACCCTTAATGTGAATGGTCTCAGGTCTGAGATCAAAACTGTGTGGTTGGTTTGGTTTTTACGTAGATTCAAGGTGGATGTGTGCTTCTTGCAGGAACACAATCATAAGTTCGGCAGTGAGTTGCAGCTGAATGGGTTTAAGTTGTACATTAGTTGTGCTTGGCAGTTGAAAGGGGGGAGTGGCAGTAGTGATAAAGGAGGCCAGCTCCTTGCGTGTCACTGGTTGGGAAGAGGGGGGAGGAGGGTTGTGCGAGTCGATGGTGTATGGGGTGATAGAAGGGCATGCTTTATAGGAGTGTATATGCCGGCATCCAGCAATATGCGGGTGAAGGCGGATTTTGTGAGGGATGAATTATTTTATCAGGGATTGCCTGCCATCACAATTATAGGTAGGGATTGGAATTGTGTGATACGTGGCCAAGATGTGGAACCGAGGGGGGTGGGTTGTGTTTTAAGTGTCCTGAGAGATGTGTTGAGGGACGTGGGAGTCGTAGATGTTGCGGGGGGAGGTTTTATGGTGGAGCACATTTTCGTTCATCGGGGGTATGCGGCGAGACTAGACAGAATTTATGTCATGCAGGGGTTGGAGGTGGGGAGGGTGCAGACATTCGACACAGGTTTCTTGGATCATAGGGCGGTGATAGTAGATCTGTCATGGGAGGGTGCTGTGCATATTTACCCTGGTTACTGGGAGTTGAATGTGCAGCTGCTTAGGGGGAGGGGGTACAGGATTTGAGGGGTGGTGGTTAAAAGGTTTTGGGAGGCAAGGGATCAGGCAGTGGAGCTTATAGACTGGTGGGAGTTGAGGGCGAAGCCGGGGATTGCGGATTTTTTTAGGGTTAAGGGATGTGTGGAAGCAAGATGGAGATATGGACTGCAGAATTATTTGGAGGGACAGTTGCAGGCTTGTTACGGGAGGGGGGCATGGGGGAAGGATATCACACTTCTTTGAGGTAGGATTGCGGATATTCATAACGAACGTTTTGACATGGTACGTTTTTGATTGGGGTTGGAGGATGTGCTGTGGGGGATAAACCAACTGGGTATGTCTTGCATAAGTTTAGGGAATGTAGGAAAGTGACCACGTTATTGCAGTTAGTAGCTAGTGCGGGGGTGGAGGGATACCCGGAAGGTGCAGTCCTTGTCTCCACAGAGAGTATGAGCATTTATGCTGATGAGTGGTTCAGGATAAAATGGAGACAGTGTGAGAGACAAGGCACCTGGCAGGAGCTTTTTAGTAGGGGGGTTTCATGATGTTATAGGAGAACAGGATAGGGTGGGGTTGGAGGGTGACATTAGTGAAGCTGAGGTGGTGGATGTGGTCTTCGGAATGAGCACGGGTAAGTCGCCAGGGATTGATGGTCTGCTTATTGATTTTTACAGGGTTCATTGGGGGTGCATGAGGTATTGCTTTGTTGGGGTTTTGAACAATATGCTAGATGGTGGGAGGATGGGCATGTCACAATGTATGGGTATAGTGGTATTAGTAGCAAAGAAGGAGGGGGCGCAGGAGCTGAGTGCTTTCCGGGCAATTTCCTTGATGTGCACAGAATATAAGGTGTTCACAAAGATTCTAGGCAATAGGTTGAAGGGGGTTCTAGGGGCAGTTTTACACGGGTCAGTTCAGAATTCCAGGGGGGAGTATGTGGGAAGAATATGGTCGTATCAGGGATTTCTTAGAGGGTTGTGGAGGGGGGTTCTTGGGTTGGATTGAGAGAATTCGTATGACTGTGTGGACAGGGTGTTTTTGCATGAGAGCTTGAGTGGTTTGGGCTTTGGAGCCAAGGTAGTAGGGTGGATGGATGCCTTGTATGCGGGAGTGAAGATGCAGGTGCAGGTGAATGGTAGGTTGGGTTGTAAGATCAGTATGGAGAGGGGTTTGTGGCAGGGATGCCTGCTTTCCCAACTTTTGTTTGCATGTGTACAGAATCCGCTTTATGAGCTTGTAGGCCGAGAGTTGAGTGGTGAGGGGGCTGAGGGGAATGGGGAGGGGTTGTAGGTTACGTTGATGATACGATGATCTTACTTAGTGGAAAGGGGGATTTTTCAAGGTTGAGTGGAGTCATTGAGAGGTTTGGGGTTGTAACGGGGATGAGAGTTAACAAAAGCAAGTCGATGTTGTTAGAGGTGGGCACTTGCGTGGGAGGGAGATTGGGTCGGGGGTTTGGATGGAACATTGTGGAGAGGATCAAGATTTGTGGGATTTGGTATACGGCGGACATGCAGGGCATTGGAAAGGTTAATTCAGAGGCGGTTAGGGACAGGGCTGTGGGCAGGCTATGTGGTCTAAGGGCCATTGCACCAAAGGGCAGTGGTTGTGAATTCGCTGGTATACAGTAAGGTTTGGGGGATGGCGGCAGTATACCCCTTGAGGAACTGTGATGTAATAGAAATCCAGAGGAGGGCATTAAGGTATCTTTGGGGTTATGGGAGGGCGTGGTTGGGACGAGACATGATAATGACCGGGGTGCATCAGGGGGCATTGGGTTTGTTGGCATTGGGGCCCAGGGTGAGGGCGATTTATGTTAAGATGCTATATCTCAGAGGGGGGTCAGGGGTCATCGTGTGGGGGAGGTGATGAGGGAAGTTCATTGTTGGTGGAGTGGGCGGGACCTGGAGGTGTGTGAGGACATGTTTAGGTATATGTTATGAGTTCGTGATGTACGTCATCTGAGAATAGGGAGGCTAGTGGGAGTGGAGCATCATCGGGATACTCTGTCTTCCCCACATATGAATGGAAGGTAATATGGAGGAATTTCGAAAGCTAATAATTCCCACCAGGGTGAGAGAAGTGGTGTAGAGATTCATCATGGGAATATTGGCATCAAAAGAGGTGTTGAGGCAGATGGGATATGTGAGAGATGCATCTTGTGTGCATTGTGTGGGGACCTGGAAATGGCCTTCCATGTGGTGTATTTTTGTCCTTTTTTGGAAAATGTACGATTGTGGTTGAGGGGTGTTTTTGGGATATTGGGGGGAGGGGGTCCTCAAGGCTTTACTTTTAAACATGGGAGGGGTGTCATGTGAGGTAGCGAGGGCATTAAGGTATATTATGGCTTATCTCAGCATTCAACATGTTTTTTCTCACTAAACTGATTATTTCTAGTCTTTTATTTAAAATAAGAGGCTTGTAACTCCTCTTGTCACTAGCATTACCCTTAGAAGCCATTGTACTATAATTAATATTTACAACAATGACACTATCACAAGAAAACATTTGAAACTTGCAAGAATATGACATTGAGACACACAGTGCACAATTACTGTAAACAGACTGAGTGTGTGACAAAATGGCGCCGATTAGCTGATGTGTGAGTCACTGTCGAAAATAATAAAAATTTATACATGTATAACTGAAAAGCGCCGTATTAGCGAAATGCTGTAAAGTAGACGCCATATTTAGAAGGTAGACTTGTATATGGATTTCAGTAAGACATTTCATCAAGTTCCACACAAGAGAGTAATTAAAAAAGTAACAACACATGGAATAGGAGGAAAAATTATCTCCTGGGTTGAGACATGGTTGACTGATAGGAAAGAGAGAGAGTTTGCATTAATGGGGAGAAATCAGAATGGTGACCTATTACGAATGTTGTACCACAGGGGCCAGTGTTGGGGCCCTTGTTCACAGTCGACATAAACAACATTGATGATGGAGTAAATAGTGACATAAATTTGCCGATGACACTAAAATAGGCAGTCTAATTCCTGATGTGGACATCAGAAGGCTGCACACGACCTGGCTAGGTTTATGTTGTGGTCGGAGAAGTTATGGACTTATTATTATTATTAAAGATTCGCCGGTATTCTCCCGGCCCAGGCCTTTTCCAGGTGGTGGCCCGGCCTTGGCTCCCTATGTATCGTAGGGAGAAGCTAGGCCTCTCTGGTCTCTCATTCCCTCCCACAGGGGGCTAATGGGAATGACAATCTTGTGAGCCGAAAGCTCGGGCTCAGGCACCTACCCTACCCTAGAAGGACTGGGCATGGTGTCGATCACCAGTTACGGACATAGTTCAATATAAAAAACTTAAGGTTCTAATCCTAGAAAAGAAAAATAAGTATGAGTTGAAGTTTAACTCACTGACGTGACTGTAGGCTGAAATTCAATGACCTGGCTGCACTAAAATTTACTGACCTGGTTTTATTGAAAGAGTCACTGACCTGACTGTAGTCGTAAGGCTGCATGCCCGTCGCAGCGCAAGGGTTATCCATAGCAACAGCCGCCTCTGAGAACGATACAAAAAAATTGAGAACTCTGTGGAGAAATGAGACAAAATATTAAAATGATTTTGAAAATCTCATTTGCAGTGATTGGGATTCTAGAAACGAGGTGTGTTAGGAAAAAATAACACTAATGAAAAACATACATTCTTAGAGTTAGTCGTTGACATGGATTTTTTTTAATTGGAAGACAGAGTGACAATAAGATGAGTAATATTAAAACATTTATAGGATGAAAAGTCCAAAGTATGACCTCTGTTAATGAAGTTCCCCGAGTGTCTAAAGTGAGCTGTACTGTGTTGTGAGCGGTGATGAGCTCCCTGTGACCCAGAAGAATAAGTTTAAAGAGAGATGTTGTGAGAGGTGATGAGCTCCCTGTGACCCAGAAGAATAAGTTTAAAGAGAGATGTTGTGAGAGGTGATGAGCTCCCTGTGACCCAGAAGAATAAGTTTAAAGAGAGATGTTGTGAGAGGTGATGAGCTGCCTGTGACTCAGAAGAATAAGTTTAAAGAGAGATGTATGAGAGAGATGTACAAAATGAAAGAGAGTGAAGGTGATGAGTGACAGAAGAAAAGAAGAGGATGATGAAGAAGATGTACGTATGAAAGCGTTAGGCGGAAGAGACATGAAAGGAAAAACGTGAAATGGAAAGAAAAACATATGAAACAGAGACGTATAAGAAAAAAGACAAGAGACAGAGAGAGAGAGACTTGTTAAAGCAGAGTTAGGAGATACATTACCTGGGTGTAGGAGGGTGAGGACCCCCAGCAGGCAGATCATCATGGCAGCAATCATGTTAGCAGCAGAGGACACTGTGGTGCTCCACTAACATAATCCATCACTTATATATCTCTTGCCTGAGAGCCGCACCTCACACAGTAACCTAAGATAGTGGGCAACAAACATATTATCTTTGTAGCTGACCCATGTGACATATTTCCCATCACCACCAAATATGATTATATATATATATATATATATATATATATATATATATATATATATATATATATATATATATATATATATATATATATATAATATATATATATATATATATATATATATATATTATATATATATATATATATATATATATATATATATATATATATATATATATATATATTATATATATATATATATATATATATATATATTATATATATATATATATATATATATATATTATATATATATATATATATATATATATATATATATATATTTGTGTGTGTGTGTGTTATGTATGTTATGTGTGTGTGTGTGTGTGTGTGTGTTGTGTGTGTGTGTGTGTGTGTGTGTGTGTGAGTGTGTGTGTGTATGTATGTGTGTAAGTATTATTAACACATCGGCCGACTCCCACCAAGGCAGGGTGGCCCGAAAAAGAAAAACTTTCACCATCATTCACTCCATCACTGTCTTGCCAGAAGGGTGCTTTACACTACAGTTTTTAAACTGCAACATTAACACCCCTCCTTCAGAGTGCAGACACTGTACTTCCCATCTCCAGGACTCAAGTCCGGCCTGCCGGTTTCCCTGAACCCCTTCATAAATGTTACTTTGCTCACACTCCAACAGCACGTCAAGTATTAAAAACCACTTGTCTCCATTCAACCCTATCAAATACGCTCACGCATGCCTGCTGGAAGTCCAAGCCCCTCGCACCGATTAGGTAAAACTGGTCAATTAGCAAGAACTCGTTTAAAATTAAGTTCTTTCTAAAAATTTCTCTTATACATTTAAAGATAATTTTTTTTCATTATGTAATATAAAAATTAATGATTTTATCCCATAAGAACCTTAGAAAACTTACCTAACCTTATTATAACAAGGGTAATTTAATTTAGCCTAATCAAACTAAATATATTTATATAAGTTTACAATAATTTAATAATAAAGAAACACAATGATATATATATATTTTTTCGTTACATTCAAAATTATTAGATCGACACCATGCCCAGCCCTTCTAGGGTAGGGTAGGTGCCTGAGCCGGAGCTTGCAGCTCATAAGACTGTCATTCCCATTTGCCCCCTTGGGGCGGGGATGGCAAACCAGAGAGGCCTAGCTTGTGGCTAGGCCTGGGGACAGTTGGTCCCAAAGATGAGGAGGTACTTGTGCCTCCTCCCATGGGAGACTTAGGTCTCAGACACTCCCTAAAGAGGGAGCCAAGACCGGGCCGGGAAAATACCGGCGAATCTTTAATAATAAAAATAATAATCAAAATTATTTTTGCGAAATTATTGCATACACAAATTTCTCTTTGCCCTATTCAGCAATAAATGCGTTGATATTTTAGCCAAAATCGAAAGTTTTACTTGTAAAACCTGTTCTTTCTCACGAAGTTCTTTAGTCTGCCCAGGTTAACATATATTTTAAGATGTGCACCTTCACATGATAACCCTATACTGCACGAATATGACAGTATTCTGAGGCAGATCGTTACGAAAGTACTTAGCCTTACACTAGAAGATAGGAAGTGGAACCAAGCTACACTTCCAAACTAGGAGGCATTGGTGTCCGCAAGTCACCACAGATTGCGCTACCTGCTTTCCTGTCCTCATGCGTTGCATCCAGTGGACTTGTAGCAGCGATTCTCCCTGAACATCTTAGGGACAAGATTGGAGTTCATGACCAATAGTTCGTTGACGGAGTCACGATCTGGGATAATGTAAGGGCTCTGAAACTAGACTTGCTCCCCCTAACAACTTCAGTCACACTGGGATGGCTCAATAGTGGAGAATATAGCCTCAGCAATGCTTCAGAGTGTGTCGAGGAAGAATAGAGCCCGCCTCCAGGCAGTGAGAGTTTCTCATGCAGACACCTAAAATGAAGAAGTGTATTAAATAATGTTTAAGCAAAGATCACCTCAGAAGGCAGCTCAGATGCAAACTCACATAAACTATTAAATCTCTGCACCAAATTCACCTTAAACCAGCAAGACTAGAAAATACACTGGAACAAATCCTCACTAACAACGACGATCTGATACATAATATAACCGTATCAAAGATAATACACCCAAATCACAACGTAATAGAGGTACAGGCGTGTATGCGCAGGGCTCCTGACCAGCAAAATGTGATCAGTTATGAGGGTATCTTCACAAAATTCAACTTTAATAACAGAAACATGCAGTGGGATCAAATTAACAATGTCCTAAATGAAACAAGCTGGGAAGATATCCTAAATAACATGGATCCAAACCTTTGCCTAGAAAAAATTAACTGTGGCATTTGAGATCTCCTCAAGGCACATTCCATTAAAAAAAAGAAAGAGAAGGTGTAAACTAGAAAGGGAGAGACGCTCCCTTAACAGGCAAAGGCGAACAATCACAGAACTGCTGAGACGGGAGGCAATGGTCAGAGAAATAGCAAATATTGAACTTTCAAGAGTCTCAGGAAGAACTTAAAGCCATCAATGAAACTGAAAGAAATCCAAAATACTTCTATGCCAAATCTAAGGCGAGAACAACATCCAGTATTGAACCCCTGCTTAGACGAGATGGAACCTACACAGATGACAGCATAGAAATGAGTGAGATACTAAAGTCGAAGTACGACTCAGTGTTCAGCAAGCCGTTAAGCAGACTAAGGGTCTACAGTCTAAATAATTTTTTTTATGACCGAGGCTCAAAATATGCTCATTTCAAAAATCTTTAATATTATCCTAACACCACAAGACTTTGAAATGACAATTAATGACATGCCTATGCACTCTACCCCAGGGCTGGACTCGTGGAACTTGTGTTCGTCAAGAACTGCACGATGCCCCTGTAACGTGCCTTCAGCATTCTGTGGAGAGTGAGCTGTGATACAGCCATCATACTGTGACCAAGGGAGATGTGGTTCAAGATCCTTCAGGGCATCATAGAAGTAGCCTATGCACACGTGCATGCATCACTAACCTCATGAGCCAGAAATTTCTGATCAAAGTGGACTTTGCAAATGCCTTTAATTTAGTCAAAAGGGACGTCGTATTCAGAGCTGTCCATAACCATTTCCCTACCCAGAATGAGTGGAACAAACTCCTGAGTACCGTCATAGAAGCTAAAACGCTGTGTAGTTTTAAAAATAGGTTAGATAAATGCATGAGTGGGTGTGAGTTGGATCTGACTAGCTTGTGCTACTAGGTCATGTGCCGTGCTCTTTCCTTAAGTGAATGTGACCTGACCTGACTAGGTTGGGGCATTGGCTTTGGCCGGTGGGAGACTTAGACCCGCCTCGCATGGGCCTCCTGCAGTGCTCCTTCTTTCTTATGTTCTTATGCTCTTGATATAACAGTGACTCGAAATTCCTCTCTGGAGAGTACCAAACTGCCTCACGTAAAATGGTCCAGCAAGGAGACCCTCTCAGCCCTCTTCTATTTGGCCATCAAACAGATCACAATGACCTGACCTGTGAGCTCAGTATCTGGTCTTAAATGATGGCATTCTACCAAGCACGAAAGAATCTTTTCTAAAAGACATCAGATTTGTTAAAAGTGCAAGGCGAGAATATGGCCTCTACATAAACCTTCAAAATGTGAACGAAAGTACACCAGCAAACACACTGATAAGTCACGGCTGCCCTGCAAGAAGTTAGAGGCGTTGATCCCACTAACACCAGCAAACACATTGATAAGTCACGGCTGCCCTGCAAGAAGTTAGAGGCGTTGATCCCACTAACACCAGCAAACACACTGATAAGTCACGGCTGCCCTGCAAGAAGTTAGAGGCGTTGATCCCACTAACACCAGCAAACACACTGATAAGTCACGGCTGCCCTGCAAGAAGTTAGAGGCGTTGATCCCACTAACACCAGCAAACACACTGATAAGTCACGGCTGCCCTGCAAGAAGTTAGAGGCGTTGATCCCACTAACACCAGCAAACACACTGATAAGTCACGGCTGCCCTGCAAGAAGTTAGAGGCGTTGATCCCACTAACACCAGCAAACACACTGATAAGTCACGGCTGCCCTGCAAGAAGTTAGAGGCGTTGATCCCACTAACACCAGCAAACACACTGATAAGTCACGGCTGCCCTGCAAGAAGTTAGAGGCGTTGATCCCACTAACACCAGCAAACACACTGATAAGTCACGGCTGCCCTGCAAGAAGTTAGAGGCGTTGATCCCACTAACACCAGCAAACACACTGATAAGTCACGGCTGCCCTGCAAGAAGTTAGAGGCGTTGATCCCACTAACACCAGCAAACACACTGATAAGTCACGGCTGCCCTGCAAGAAGTTAGAGGCGTTGATCCCACTAACACCAGCAAACACACTGATAAGTCACGGCTGCCCTGCAAGAAGTTGAGGCGTTGATCCCACTAACACCAGCAAACACACTGATAAGTCACGGCTGCCCTGCAAGAAGTTAGAGGCGTTGATCCCACTAACACCAGCAAACACACTGATAAGTCACGGCTGCCCTGCAAGAAGTTAGAGGCGTTGATCCCACTAACACCAGCAAACACACTGATAAGTCACGGCTGCCCTGCAAGAAGTTAGAGGCGTTGATCCCACTAACACCAGCAAACACACTGATAAGTCACGGCTGCCCTGCAAGAAGTTAGAGGCGTTGATCCCACTAACACCAGCAAACACACTGATAAGTCACGGCTGCCCTGCAAGAAGTTAGAGGCGTTGATCCCACTAACACCAGCAAACACACTGATAAGTCACGGCTGCCCTGCAAGAAGTTAGAGGCGTTGATCCCACTAACACCAGCAAACACACTGATAAGTCACGGCTGCCCTGCAAGAAGTTAGAGGCGTTGATCCCACTAACACCAGCAAACACACTGATAAGTCACGGCTGCCCTGCAAGAAGTTAGAGGCGTTGATCCCA